TAGCCTAGCCATGACGAAAACAGTCCATTTAAACTTCACCCCACTTTGGACCCGAAAGTGGGGTGCATTTTGGTGGTAAGCTCACCACAGAGCAAGAGAGAGTTAGAGTCCCTAATCTGCAGTATAAACAAACTTTGCCAGGACATCGCCAGCCCAACCTTGATAAGTACTGCTTGGAACTCCTCCATGATGTTCTAGTCTTATTCGCAGTCTCATATAGTTTCGGATTATGTCCATTCTCATAGCTACCGGTATACATGGGAGATGCCAGTTTCATCTTCCTTGCTTCACTTTATAAGCATAGTTATATCAGGAACTTCCTGGTTATAATTATGTTCCTTTCAACAGGGTCTAGTTCGATATAGTGCATGGACACAATTAAATATGATATTGTCTAAAATTGTCAAAAATATCTTAACATCAAAATGATTTCTGGTCATGTTTAACTATTTTAATTGAAGCCTTTTTACTTGATCTAATACTTTTATGAGGATGACATAGTCCGCAATAAACTTGACAAACATTATCATCCATACTATATGTCGTAGTTTATAACAATAATTACTCATGAACCTCACACTACAAGGACAATATTCATCCAGATTCTGAGATTGCTCATTCTCTCGAAGCTTGGTGTATGCGAAGATATCTGGAAAGAAAGCGGTCTGTAATACCAGACACGCAAGTGGGGTATTTCGGTCCCCGTTCACCGAAAAGTGAGATTCTCCATTTGAAAGTCGGGTAAGGTCGACAAATATAGCCTCTGTTAAAGGCGTTACTCCGCCACCAAATTTATTCGCATAGACGAAATAAACTCGAACGCGTTTAGAAAAGTGGTGTAGGCCTATATAGGCCTATAAGGAAAGGTCGGGATAACATACATTTTGTTGGTTTGACCGTTAAATATTTTTGAGGTATTAAAGCAAGAATAGAATGTTGTAAATATTGTTTTCGTTACATTTATTCCGTGCGTAATCTCAAGGTCTACTCAACTTTCTTTGTCTATTTCTTGCCCCACCCCCCCAAACGGCAGATCAAGGATTTGAAAATAGGGAGTGGCCGGGGCTCAGACGTCAAATTTGAAATGGGGGGGGGGGGGGGTGGTTGTTTAGGCAGACGGCATATTTCTTGGAATTCGTTATAAAGACGGTATTTAAAAAAATGATGATTCTGGCAAGATAAGAATTGAATTTCATCAAACTTTTATTCGATTTAATATGATCTGTATACGTATAGGATACAATATTTATTTCCCCACAACACATCAAGCCGTGATGATTGAATGTCCATTGCATGTAACACGAAAGAAACGGAAACTCTCAAATCTACAATCCTTTAGAAAGATAATAATTAGCCAAGTAATTAGGGCATTACAAGACATCGAAGGACTTAATCTATTTTACAATAGTTGATGCAACCATAATGGAACATTATGCTTCTCGATACTGAGGATATGAGATTTCAGCACAAGTGTATTTGGTTTCAAAATTTTATAGCAGTTCGTTAAAGAAACATTTCGATGCTCACTTGTATAATCAATCTCTATGACAAGCTCATTTTTATCACGACAGTTAAACCTTTTCACTTTTTGATACTAAAGATTGTTGAAGAATTGCCTAATTGACTGCTCGGATGATTTTTTACCTTTCTCCGAAACCTCTTGGTTTTTTGCTCATGATATTAGCGCATTATTCTTTTTGTCACTGTATGTATTAATAAGCAAATACATATCTGCACAACGAACGTCTTTATGATTATGATGTCCTCGTTTCATTGTATGTTATAAATTCAATATCATGACGAGAAGTGCGTCAAAAATATCTTAACATCGAAATGATTTCTGGTCATGTTTAACTATTTTAATTGAAGCCTTTTTACTTGATCTAATACTTTTAAGAGGATGACATAGTCCGCAAAAAACTTGACAAACATTATCATCCATACTATATGTCGTAGTCTATAACAATAATTACTCATGAACCTCACACTACAAGGACAACATTCATCCAGATTCTGAGATTGCTCATTCTCACGAAGCTTGGTGTACGCGAAGATATCGGGAAAGAAAGCGGTCTGTAATACCAGACACGCAAGTGGGGTATTTCGGTCCCCGTTCACCGAAAAGTGAGATTCTCCATTTGAAAGTCGGGTAAGGTCGACAAATATAGCCTCTGTTAAAGGCGTTACTCCGCCACCAAATTTATTCGCATAGACGAAATAAACTCGAACGCGTTTAGAAAAATGGTATAGGCCTAGGCCTATTAGGAAAGGCCGGGAAAACATACATTTTGTTGGTTGACCGTTAAATATTTTTGAGGTATTAAAGCAAGAATAGAATGTTGTAAATATTGTTTTCGTTACATTTATTCCGTGCGTAATCTCAAGGTCTACTCAACTTTCTTTGCCTATTTCTTGCCCCCCCCCCCAAACGGCAGATCAAGGATTTGAAAATAGGGAGTGGCCGGGGCTCAGACGTCAAATTTGAAATAGGGGGGGGGGGGGGGGGGTGGTTGTTTAGGCAGACGGCATATTTCTTGGAATTCGTTATAAAGACGGTATTTAAAAAAATGATGATTCTGGCAAGATAAGAATTGAATTTCATCAAACTTTTATTCGATTTAATATGATCTGTATACGTATAGGATACAATATTTATTTCCCCACAACACATCAAGCCGTGATGATTGAATGTCCATTGCATGTAACACGAAAGAAACGGAAACTCTCAAATCTACAATCCTTTAGAAAGATATTAATTAGCCGAGTAATTAGGGCATTACAAGACATCGAAGGACTTAATCTATTTTACAATAGTTGATGCAACCATAATGGAACATTATGCTTCTCGATACTGAGGATATGAAATTTCAGCACAAGTGTATTTGGTTTCAAAATTTTATAGCAGTTCGTTAAAGAAACATTTCGATGCTCACTTGTATAATCAATCTATATGACAAGCTCATTTTTATCACGACAGTTAAACCTTTTCACTTTTTGATACTAAAGATTGTTGAAGAATTGCCTAATTGACTGCTCGGATGATTTTTTACCTTTCTCCGAAACCTCTTGGTTTTTTGCTCATGATTATAGCGCATTATTCTTTTTGTCACTGTATGTATTAATAAGCAAATACATATCTGCACAACGAACGTCTTTATGATTATGATGTCCTCGTTTCGTTGTATGTTATAAATTCAATATCATGACGAGAAGTGCGTCAAAAATATCTTAACATCAAAATGATTTCTGGTCATGTTTAACTATTTTAATTAAAGCCTTTTTACTTGATCTAATACTTTTATGAGGATGACATAGTCCGCAATAAACTTGACAAACATTATCATCCATACTATATGTCGTAGTCTATAACAATAATTACTCATGAACCTCACACTACAAGGACAACATTCATCCAGATTCTGAGATTGCTCATTCTCACGAAGCTTGGTGTACGCGAAGATATCGGGAAAGAAAGCGGTCTGTAATACCAGACACGCAAGTGGGGTATTTCGGTCCCCGTTCACCGAAAAGTGAGATTCTCCATTTGAAAGTCGGGTAAGGTCGACAAATATAGCCTCTGTTAAAGGCGTTACTCCACCACCCAATTCGGAACAGCTTGCCACATGCAGTATCGTGAATGCGCCCGGCACTCTGCGCGGCCGTTTTTCAGTGTATTTTCTTTTAGTGTTCTTAAAAATTCGCCGTGTCGTTTGATCAAAGAGGTACTGGGCAAGCTTGCCTATTAATGATTTGGTTCAATACATAAGCCATCTAACCTTTATGTTTTAAGGTAATGATTATATTTATGCAGAAAAACTAAAATACTTGTGACAGTGCGATTATTTCAAGTCGCCCTTTTTAGGTTATTATGCAGCAACATGACCAATCAAAGTTTGGTCCAGTTAACGCTTGTTGGTTGGTGGTTTTTTTAAAGTTTATTTGTCCAATTAACTTCTTTATCTTCTCAATGTTTCCTTTCCATCTTTCCTTTCCATCTTTCCTCATGTTTTTTGTTATTATCACCTTTATTCTATATACCTTTCGGCTAATATTATTCTTTATTTTTCTCCTTCTTTCAACATCTCTTTTCTAATTTTCATTATATATTTCTTTATTTTCTCCTAATTTTATCTTCTTTAGCCATCTTTCCTTATGCCCTTCTTTATTTTCTCCGTCTTTCTAATTTTCATCTTTCCTTATGTATTCCTCTATTTTCACCTTGTTTTATTCTCTCTATCTTTTCTCATGTATTTCTTTATGTCTAACCTTCATTATCTTCTGTTTCCATCTTTCCCTGTGTATTTCTTTTTAAACCTTCTTTTATCTTCCTTTTCCATCTTTCCTTATGTTATTCTTTATTTTCTCCTAATTTTATCTTTTTCATCTTTCCTTATGTATTCCTCTATTTTCACCTTGTTTTATTCTCTCTGTCTTTTCTCATGTATTTCTTTTTTTTCTAACCTTCTTTATCTTCTGTTTCCATCTTTCCTTATGTATTTCTTTTTAAACTTTTTATCTTCCTTTTCCATCTTTCCTTATGCTATTCTTCATTTTCTCTTCCTTCTTTCCCTCCATTTCCATCTTTCCTTATTATCACCCGTCTTTCCTTATTTTATCCTCCCTTTATATTTTCCTTCTGCATTTTTCCATTGCCAAGCACATCAATGTTCTCTTCTATACATAAAAGAAACTTAAATAGCTAGTACTTGCTAAAAAAAACAATATGAAGTAAGACTTTAGACACACTGAATCCAGGCCTATTATAAATATAGGTGTAGGGGCTGCGATGAGAAGACTATGAATCTGGACTGGATATCAGATACCAGCTGGTAATCCCTTTATCAGTAACTAGGCTATGATTGACCGCTGTCTCTCTCCCCATGGACCCTACTGGTAATCCCTTTATCAGTGGTCAGTGCTCCTATCAGATTATGGTAGCTCCAGGAAAAGTGGTGAACTGGTGAGCAGAGCTCAAATGGGATGTTTTCCTAATGTCTCAGGCAAAATTAGCTATTCCTCAGTTATAGATGAAAACAAATGTGGCACAGTATGTAGACTTTTGTTAATTTCCTTTCAATGAGAGGAGAGAAAAGAACACTTTGACTATGAAACAAAATCAATGATGTAGAGTGCATTTAGGCAAATACAAATTGCCTTTCAGCTGATGACAATCCATTAGTCTGCTCACCCCATTGAGGAATGTATTTCAGTTCTTAGTCCACCTCAGAGGGAAGAGTTGTGTCATGAGCTACATTGTGGAGAAGAAGAGACAGAAGATCAAAAGCGATTAGTGATGAAGCATGTGAAAGTATTTCTTGTTTGTATACAGATAAGGTTTTCAGACCAAGGGCTTTGTGGTGGCATTCTGGTTCCTTGCTGATTTTGACATTCCTGGAGAAACCTTCATGCAAGTAATCATGATACATAGCTATTCTTTTTTTTACATTACCTTTTTATTTAGAATGATTAAAGTTAAAAGATTAATTTGGAAAAATGCTTTTTAAACTACTTATGATAGTAGATAAGGACTGTCAAAATGTGTCATGTTCTGGTGGGTCACACAACTTAAATATAAAAACAGCAGGGTATTCTACACTTTGGCAAGATATTAACCTGCACTTGCTACACTCCACCCAGGTGTTAGATTGGTACCCGGTAGGATGCAACTGTCATTGTTGGTCAAACAGTTTTTGAGCGACAAATAACGCCTGGCTGGAATGCTCCCCAGGGAGTGGAGATTGTGCACACAGTGTGTGCGGCAAGCACTGAATCCAATGACCGGGGTAATAGTATATCTGTAAAGCGCTTTATAAAAACGGAATATTATCATCATTATTACACTACAAAATTATGAGCATCATCCATCAGTAATAATTTTTAGCTGATCTCTGACTGGAAGACTAACACAAACTGTACAACTTATATTTAAATGTTGTTGTTTTGGAACCTCAATCAGGCAGGTTTCTAATGATATTCTAGTAAGATTTCTGATCGAAATGCAACTTCCCTTTTTTCAACATTTCATTCATAGTTGCTTCATTAAGTGGGTTTAGGTCATTGAATGCTTATCTTACCTTTGTATCTCAGCACTTTGGTCCAGCTCTTCTAGGTTGTACTCCAGGTATTTGTCCATGCCCTCAAACTTGAAATAACCTTTGAACTTTGACCCCTTCAGCATTAATGGGAACCACAGGACATCATCAGGCCACATGGTATTGAAGGGAATGGAATCTACATCAAACCACTGCGGTCTCATCTCTGTGGATAAACAAATAAAATACGGTAAAATACTGAAATGTTATTTATACATCAATCCAACTTTAGTACTCAATGGTCACATTCACAAAGAGTCAAAGAGGGGTTTGTGAAGTCAAATAAAACAATAACGATGTAACAAAACATTGTCAAAGCCTATTCATTGCCCAGAGGTTATCTCTTACCCTAAGAAATGTATAGTTGAATGGGAGGTGAAAGGATGCCCATGATGCGACCCCTTTCCTCTTTGATACATATATACAGTACATGGGTCATATTAGGATATAACAAGGCCTGCACTTAAAAGAATTGAGAAGAAACATAGCAATGAACACAAAAATAAGGAATATAAAAAGTGATTGAAAAAAAAAGAGAACCACAAATACAGCTTTTTGAAGGATACCTAAATTTGACAAAGATCCTAAAAGGTCAAAGTATGACATACCTTCTGTTTCAGCTGGCTCTCCTTCAAACTCGGTTGCTTTGAAAACATGTACTTCCATAATCTGTGGTTCACCAACAAACTCAAAGTCTATGCGTCCAATGTGCTTCATGTCTGGTGCCCTGACACAACTTTCTTCAAGCAATTCTCTGAAGAGGAACAATATTGTCAAAAGTGTGGTTCAGCAAATTACTATAGAATCTAATGAATAGGCTGTCAACTTTTTTGGAACACTTTCAAGAAAAATAAAATAGTTTATACAAACCTTTTAAGCCGTTTATATCAACCTTTTAAGAGGAACATGGAGTTTCAAAGAATCTATGTTGAGTGCATTCAAAATTCTTATTCCTTGATCTTGGTTGGTAATATATTTGTTTTACCCGACTGCCAAGAAAGCATAGATGTGCTAGTAAATAAGCAACCAGAGGACAGACGGCTTCAAGTCCTCCCTGAGAGTCGTATTTGGTTACGCGGATTAATGCCTTACCAAAGCCCACTAGTGTATTAACTATCAACTTGATTTTGAACCAGGGACTTTCACATTACAAGACCACTTCTCGACCACTGAGATATCGCGCCTCTATCAAGTTGTAGGAGGCATTAGACTTCATTAAAATTCCACATTACTGATACTTCTTCATAATTTTGTAGCAAATGCCAATTCAAACGGGAAATGGTAAGCCAGGATGGCATCAACTAATTTTATCCACAGATTATTCAGGATTGGACAAAAAGCTTCTTCAGGTTCAAACAGCCTGAGGTATTAAACCTGGGGGGGGGGGGGGGCACCCCTGTAGTTTGTATGGGGAGGTATTATTATTTAGTATAATAAAGCTTGAAACAAAGTAAATGCACCCAGTGTCTACAGTTTTGAAATTGGTGTGAACAAGTACTGGAGAAGTGAACCTGCAGAGTTCAAATTCGACAACAACCTACCCAGTCATGATCCAGCCAATTTAACACGAAGAAGGAATTTGGAATTGAATGCACCATCTCCTCCCATCCGTAGAGCTCTTATAGTGAGAGCCCAATTACTCACATCCACTTACTTGACACAATGCCGTCTTTTCACGCTTAAGAAATCGCCTATCTCTACATGCCCCCTTTGTAAAACCAATGATGAGACAGTGGAGCACTTTGTTGGAGTCTGCTCATACCTGGCCCATCTCCGTCAGGATTTCATCAGCAAAGTCAAGGAATGCCTCGTGGATTATCCCATCTGTTTAAACCTATATGATGATGATGACCCACAGCAATTTACTCCTGCTACTCTGTTACCCCTGCATCCATGCCTGCCTTCCGAAATTCATAATAACCTACTTCTACTATCGCTCTTTTTCCTACACAAAATTGATGCTTCTCGTTCTAAGACTCTCCAAAGCTCCTAACCGGTCGGATTTTAAACATATACTTTATTTGGACTCCAGGAATCTCCAAAACAGTGGAGGGATCAACTAAGAAGAAGGTGGCTTAAGCCTGCATTCAGAAGAATCCATAAATATCCATGAGAAACATGCTCAAATTTAGGTTATTGGGAGGATTACATTCTCTTAAAAAGTACAATATCTCTAAGATACAAGAGTTGACTACAAAAAGTTTAAAAGCTTCAAGATAAAGCTACTGAACCCTAAAAGTTACAATACTCAATACTTACCTCTCTGCTCCCTCTAAGATGGTCTCCCCTGGTTGCACCTTCCCACCAAAGCCGTTCCATCTCCCAACACCAAACCCTCGTTTCTTCATCCCAAGCAGGAGCCGGGTGTTCTGATGGATCAACACAAGGGTCAAGAGTTTGTTTGGAACACTCATGATGATGGTAACTCCTTGATCAATCAGCTGGCAGCTGGCTGGCCCAAGACTAGACTCGATCTGTAGTGAAGACTGTACTCTGTAGACATCGTTACAGAAAAGGTAATGCAGTGTCAGAATATTTCAGAGGACAAAATACAGGGTCATTATGATTGTTTTAACAAAAATTCTATAGAAAATTCCAAAGAAGCTTTTTGTATCAAAGTACTAATCCAGCCAACAAAAACTATTACAAGCCGAGCTCAACCAGGCCAAGGCCAAAGTCCAAGACAAGGAGAGTCTCATGTCGACGCGAGACGCGGGCAGCTTGGGCGGGGGATCTCATCCAATTTTCAGTAGGCCCGGGGTATAAATAATCTCGCGTGAATACGTGTGGTGGTCAGGTTATGAGACGAAGCCTGCACAAAATTAACATATATACCAGGCCATGTATTAGGTTAATTTACATTTCTCTATCTGAAATCTACATCTTTTGTATGAAACATACATGGTGTTTAGAAATAGATAAAATTTACCTTCTTTGCTTTGCCACAGACTGTGCTCGTTTGTTTTGATTTATCACGCGGCGATTTTAGCTAGTCTTATTTCATTTTTTTAATTGGTATAAACTAAACTGTCGATGAATTTCTTCTTAATATCAATACAATTTGCATTAAAAGGTTTGAAATATCATTTTCATTTTATTATTCTATTTTTTGTCGTTTATATGAATGATTACAGCCAAATAACCATTAGGAATCAATTAAAGATAGCTGAACACAAGACTAGTACGAAGGACCTGTCGGCATTATTTGGTTTGTTTATTTTTTGAAAATCACACTTTTCATTCATTAATTGACATTTATACTTTATATAGTAAAGTATTAATCTCGATCAGGTAGATAAGTTTCTGAAATAAGTTTGATATGAATGCTGGTATATTTCATTAACGTAAATTAGGCGTGAATATGATGTTCTATGATCTGTAATGCTACCATTTTCTTAATCCTTGTCCCGCGTATTCATGTGCACGTTGTGTTTTTATGTGTAGCCTAGGTCTTAATAGGTCTGGTGGCTTTGATGAAATATAGACTTGAGTATTGCTAGCCAGTTTGTATCGAAATATAATAATGTAAGGTGAATCTTAAAGAATTTAATACCAGTTTAAATATTATGATGGGTAGTAATGCGTAGATGTCTATTCTTAATTTAAAGAGAAGGTTGACTTGAGAGCTGGGAAGAGGTGAAATATTATTTGTGAGCAATATCATTGTTACTATTATGCAAGTGTGGAAGAACATCAAAGAAAAAATGTTCCCTGAAAAGCATGGCTCCTGAAATGACTTCATATTCTAAATATGACAAGTATCAGCTTAAAAATGCCAGATTTTTGTGGTACATGTTTTTGTAGTCAATATAAATCCTTCTGTGTAAATGATTATCTAGAGATCTAGTATGTGTTTGTTACTTTACTAAACTCTTGATCTGTAAAAATATTGGTTTATACAATATTTAATCTATTTTTGATTTCCAGCTTATTCAAGTGATGCAGCGACTTTACCCATCTGATGTTGAGAATGTTAATTGGACGGGGGATAAGGGTAGCCAGACTCTATCCACATCTACCTAAGACAACACACAACACTTTGTTAACAGCACACAGCAGAGCAAAGCCTATGTAAGATTGGGTAATTTCATCAGTAATGGCGATTAAAGACTGATTTTTGTGGTGGTGACATTGTTTTAGCAGAGCAAGACCTATGTAAGATTGGGTAATGTCATTATGAATGGCGATTATAGACTGATTTAAATTGTGGTGGTGGCATTGTTTTAGGAGACAGTGGTGATACTCTAGGTTAAGAGTGTTAGTCACAATATTGCTTGAAAGAAAGAAGATATGAACACCAAGTTAAACCAAAGTCTATGGAATAATACATGCAGTCACACGAGACACAGTGAAAGAGTGTCTACTTTTTTCAAGCAATACTGTAAATCTGGTAAAAGGTGCAGTGACACATTCATGTTAGTAAGAATTATAACTATAACTACTTCTATAATTCTATATATGTACAACCTAAATTACTTTGACTATGACAAAATATTAATCAGAAATATTAAGACTCACTGCTGACACATCCATTTATTGCGTTCAGAATGAGATAAGTATAGAGAAAAAATGCTTCTGTTTTGTAGCTTGGAAACAAATGCAGTAACAGGAATAAAGCAAAACAAAGATGCTATTTCTACAGAGACACAATTAGGTATTCAAATCTTCAAAAGACAACACATATCACTTGGTTTACATCACCCAGAATAATGCCTATGTATTCATAAATGGTCATGAGAATTGAGGGGGGGGGGGGGGCAACTGGGGTGTGATGTTCATTTTCACAGAAACGTTTTCCTTCGACCTTGGAGCAAGTAAATGGTTATCTTTGAGACACTTTATGACTGGTTACAATTATGGACTCATCATTTTTATTCATTCATTTTTTTAAATTGACACCCAAGAAACCATTGTGACTTGAAGAGGCTTTAAACAAGACTAACAATGGTTTATGTTTGGACTTTGGAGCAACGACAACCATAGATCAACATAATTTAATCTATCCCTAGTACATCTTATGCATTATAAATAAGTGACAACTACATCATCACTTGCTTTTCTTCCTTTTGTCAGACTATTGCAAGCTAGGATGGCCTCTAGCAGTAGTGACGACCAAGCCAGTGGCAGTATGGAGGCGGGCAACAACAGACTTGCGCAAGAGAAATCACCCTACTTACTACAACATGCCAGCAACCCTGTAGACTGGTGAGTCTTCTTGTAACTCATGTGTCTAGTAAGTTTTTACAGTTATCATCCACATGTCAATAAATCTCTTCTGCATCAATTTGTGGTAGACTGTTTTGTGTCTCACAGTAATGTCATATTTTTACAAGACATTTGGTCCATTATGACATTGAGATTTTATTGTTTCTTTCAAAATAAGAGCCTGTACGTCACTCTTTTAAAAATGCATTTTACATGTGTAGGATACCTTCAAATGCAGTATTTATACCAAAAAAAACATAAATATATATTTATATATTATAATAATAATAATAATAATAATAGCCTAATAGTCCACTCCAAATTTTTTTATTAAACCGAAACGGAAATTCTTTTTGCCCAATTGATCGTGAGCCCGGCAGCCACTGAGCAGCGCCAGTATATATTTCTATTTCAGGTATCCTTGGGGTCAAGAAGCCTTTGATAAAGCTAGAGTGGAAAACAAACTCATCTTCCTTTCAGGTAATCAAGAATGATATCAGAATTTGATTTACATTACTATGCAATATTTGAAAAGTTGTCTTGTGGAGATTAAAGGGGAAGTCCACCCTGAAATTAAGTTAGTTTTAATAGGAGTAGAAAAATGAGAGAAACGAGTCAGTGAAAGTTTGAGCAAATTCCGATTAAAAATAAGGAAGTTAGGATTTTTGAAGTTGTGATCAATCAAACACAAATTGGCAACTCTATGACGTATCATGCGAGCTCAAATTCCATTTGCTCAGTACTAAAAAAAATCTAAAATTGTCATTTTCCCTCAAGAAAAATTTCAACCATACATGCACCCTAAATATAATAATTGCAAATATGTTTCTATACTCCCCTTGCAAGGAACAAATATATATTCCGTCATCAATAACAAAGAAAACATGATTTTATGGAATATTATGCACAAAGCAAATGAAGGAGAGCTCGTATAATAAGTCACAGAGTTGCCAATTTGTATTTAATTGATCACAACTTCAATAATTCATAACTTTCTTATTTTCATTCAGAATTTGCTCAAACTTTCACTCACCTGATTTTCTTATTATTCTGCCTCTATCGAAACAAACTTATTTTGGGGGTGGATTTTCCCTTTAAGTCCTGTGTGTTTTGAAATTTTAGACAAAACTGCATTATTTAAGTGTATATCTATTCTTTTATAAGTAATATATACAGATTTTTTTTTAATTCAGTGAAAACTCACCCGAAAGCATTATAGACTGCAGGAAATGCATGAAAAGGAAAATCAAGAGCCTAGTGAAATCTTTTAACCCGTTCAGCTCGGCATTATTCAGCCCGATAGCCACCTCACAAACGAGATTAAAAATCGAACATGCCGTACCGAGAGACCGCTCAGCGCGCGCCACAGTCAGTGGGCACAATGCGTGTGCGTTCGAGCGGCCACAGGCTTCGACTAACGGGAACCTAGCGCATGCGCAGATCATTTGGCAATCTGGCTTTGTCAAGTCGAGAGCACGTTGCACGGCCGTCCTCTGCTGTGCTCCAAGCCTCTCAGTTCTTTCCTGTACAGCTCTTTCGTAGGGTTTTCTTCTTCGTTATGATTTCTTCTTCTTCTTTGCCTCCTTCTTATTTTGTTCTTCTTCTTTCTCTTCCGCATCTTTTCTTTTTTCTTTCACTCCTATTCCCCCTTCTTCTTCTTCTTCTTCTTCTCCTTCTTCTTCTTCTTCATCTCTTTTTATTTAGATACTCAATTTTATGAGAAAAATACACATTATTTATAAAAGATTTGAAAGTAAATCTCTGTTGCATCAAATTCATATGAAATAATTTATCAGCCTAAATTGACGGTTATAATATTTGTCGGACATCATACTTTAGCGAAAAGATATAGACATGATAAAATGAAACTAAAGAAGAATCCAGAATGGCCGGGGGGGGGGGGGGGTGAAAGGAGAGACAACATAGCATAATAATAAATAAAATACATTACAGACTATAACACGATGCGCCCAACTTTCTCTCTCTCTCTCTCTCTCTCTCTCTCTCTCTCACTCTTTCTGTCTGTCTGTCTGTCTGTCTTTCTCTCTCTCTCTCTCTCTTTTATATTGTTCATCTTCTTTCTCCGACGAATCTTTTCTTTCTTCTTCTCACTCTTAGTCCCTCTTCTTCTTCTTCTTCTTCTTCTTCTCCCTCTTCTTCTTCTTCTTCATCTCTTTTTATTTAGATACTCAATTTTATGAGAAAAATACATAATTTATACAAAGTAAAAGATTTGTATGTAAATCTCTCAATGTTGCATCACTTTATATGAAATAGTATATCAGCCAAAATTGACGGTTATAATGTCGGACATTATACTTTAGCGAAAAGATATAAACATGATGAAATGAAACTAAAGAAGAATCCAGAACGGGGGGGGGGGGGGGGGGGGGGGGGGGGGGGGTAAAAGGAGAGACAAAATAGCATAATAATAAAAAAAAATCAGTACAGACTATGACACGATGCGCCCAACTTTCTCTCTCTCTCTCTCTTTCATTCTCTCTCTCTGTCTGTATGTCTGTCTTTCTCTCTCTGTCTTTCTCTTCTTCTTTCTCCTCCGCATCTTTTCTTTTTTCTTCTCACTCCTATTCCCCCTTCTTCTTCTTCTTCTTTTTTTTTTTCTTCTTCTTCTCCCTCTTCTTCTACCTCTTCATTTCTTTTTATTTAGATACTCAATTTTATGAGAAAAATACACAATTTATAAAAAGTAAAAGATTTTGTAAGTAAATCTCTGTTGCATCAAATTAATATGAAATAGTTTATCAGCCTAAAATGACGGTTATAATTATGTCGGACATTATACTTTAGCGAAAAGATATAGACATGATAAAATGAAACTAAAGAAGAATCCAGAATGGGGGGGGGGGGGGGGGGTGAAAGGAGAGACTAAATAGCATAATAATAAATAAATACAGTAAAGACTATATACCGATGTTCTCTCTCTCTCTCTCTCTCACTCTTTCTCTCTGTCTGTCTGTCTGTCTTAATAATAATAATAAATTTAATTTATATAGCGCTAAATACAAATGTCTCTAAGCGCTTTACAAATATATTATTACCCCGGTCATTGGATTCAGTGCTTACCCGCACACAATGTGTGCACAATCTCCACTCCCTGGGGAGCATTCCAGCCAGGCGTTACATGACGCTCAAAAACTGTTTGACCAACAATGACGGTCGCATCCTACCGGGTACCCATTTAACACCTGGGTGGAGAGTAGCAAGTGCAGGTTAATATCTTGCCAAAGGATATTAGTGCCGTGTCTTTCTCTCTCTCTCTCTCTTTTATATTGTTCATCTTCTTTCTCCGAAGAAGCTTTTCTTTCTTTCTTCTCACTCTTAATCCCTCTTCTTCTTCTTCTTCTTCTTTTTCTTCTTCTCCCTCTTCTTCTTCTTCATCTCTTTTTATTTAGATACTCAATTTTATGAGAAAAATACATAATTTATACAAAGTAAAAGATTTGTATGTAAATCCCTCAATGTTGCATCAAATTAATATGAAATAGTATATCAGCCTAAATTGACGGTTATAATGTCGGACATTATACTTTAGCGAAAAGATATAAACATGATAAAATGAAACTAAAGAAGAATCCAGAACGGGGGGGGGGGGGGGAGGGGGTGAAAGGAGAGACAACATAGCGTAATAATAAATAAATACAGTACAGACTATAACGATGCACCCAGCTTTCTCCCTCTCTCTCTCTCTCTCTCTCTCTCTTTCTCTCTCTCTCTATATATATATATTATATCTCTGTCTATCTGTATGTCTTTCTCTCTCTTTCTCTCTCTCTCTCTCGCTCTCTAAAAAGATTATAGGGAAAACGAAATAGTGTGTAAGTATTTGGAGAGCAAAATAATTAGTTTGTTTTATTTACTAATGTAAAGCGCTTTGAGCATGTTTATGCCATATAAATATCAATATGTATGACTATATTGCCAAATTTTGACAATTGTAGTTTGTAAGTATATGTATTGACAAAGTACATACAAATAAAACCGACACAGAAATGTCTGCAAGTATTTGGGACCTATATAGAATGTGCGAAAAGAGCTATGTCTTTGTCTTTGGCCCATGCATGTTCCCTTGGCTGAGTTACGTAAGAGGAAACAATGAACGTTGCGGAGGGTACCGGTCGTTGTCATGGCTATACACTCCAAAGAGCGGAAGTAATAATTGGATGACAATGAACTGACTTTGTATACATGTATAACCCTGGTTTATGTTGTTTTGGGGAGGGAAGGGTCTTGTTGTTTTTGCAGTTGTCGTTGCTGTTTTTAAAAAAATTAAATGGGATCACGTTCCGACATTCTCATAAATAAAAATCATATAACGTAAAGCCAAACTTTACCCTATCTGAAACAATTATTCAAAGACAAAAATCATACACGATAAAGTAATGGACAAGAATATGTGATAAGATAAAATGTCACAGACAAATAGATGATCATAAGAAATGATTGTTTCTCTCTCTTTTTCTCTCTGTTTATGTGTGTGTGTCTCTCTCTCCCTCTATTTCTCACTCAGTCGCTTTCTCTGTCTGTCTGTCTCTCTGTCTATCTGGCAATGTCGTTTTCCATCTTCATCTTTTTGTATAATGTTTTCTATTCCTCCATTTGCTTGTAGGCCGGCAGCATCTCTTCCTTGAGATTAATTATTATAACGTAATTATCACTGATGATGTACACATTATATCGTATATTTATTAGAGGAAACGAAATAGAGAACGAGCGGCTGATAATGTCGAAATGAGAAGAACATTACTGTACAATTATACCAAGTAAAACTTTTGATTGTAAATCCCTGTTGCATCAAACTGATACAAAAATGGTTTATAATGCTATATTGACGGTACTATTATACGTTGGATATTATACTTTAGCCCAAAGATATAAACAAAACAAAACAAAAGAATGGAAAGAAAAATGTGAGCTTGGGGGGGGGGGGGGGGAGAGAGTCGGTGAGAAAAATATCATAATAATAAATACAGCACAGACTACGTCCAACTTTCTATCCCCCCCCCCCTCTCTCTCTCCCTGTCCGTCTGTCTCTCTGTCTATGTCGTTTTCCATCTTCATCTTTCACAATGTTGTCTATTCCGCCATTTGCTTGTATGCCGACATCATCCTTTCCTTGGGATTAATTATTATAACATATCCTTGATGTTATACGTCGGACATTATACTTTAGCAAAAAGATATAATCAAACAAAAATGAGACCAAAAAAAAAAAAAATCAGAGTTGGGGGGGGGGGGGGTGACCGGAGAGACAAATATCATTAAATAGTACACAGGCTTCGTCCAACTTCTCTCCCCCCCCCCCCTAAACCTTATATTTAGTATAGGGAACGAAATAAAGAACGAGCGGCTGAAAATGTCGAAATGAGAAGAATATTACTTTACAATACTTATAAGAAGTCAAAAAAACTTTGAATGTAAATCTCTGTTGCATCAAAATAAAATGATACATTTAATACATGTCATTGACGGAAATTTTATACATCGGACATTATACTTTAGCACAAAAGAGTTATCTAGAAAAAGGCGGACAACGTTATAAGAGAAAGAATGAAACTTTCTCTTTTATTTACAAACGTATAAATAACATAAATATCCTACATAAGCAGAAGGAATCATGAAGAGGGAGACAAGAACAAGTATGAAAAAGTACAAACACAAATAAATATTACAACGATAGGATTTTGGAGAGGCAGATAATAGGGGAAACGCGATAGTTTGTGAGTATTGGCAAAAGTTGACACTTATAGTTTGTAAGTATTGACAAAGTACATACAAATAAAAATAACACCGAATTATCTGCAAATATATGGGCCCTACATAGAATATGCGAAAAGAGCTGTCTTTGTATTTGGCCCATGATCCTACAGCTAGGTTACGTAAGAGGAACAATGAACGTTGCGGAGGGTACAGGTCGTTGTCATGGTCGTTATCAACACCAACAATAGAAGAGCGGAAATAAGGTAAGGGTATAATTGAATAACAATGAACTGATTCTTGTACGTACTACATGTATGACCCCTTTTTTTTGGGGGGGGGGGGGTAGGGAGTCTTGTTGTTTTGGCAGTTGTCGTTACTGTTCTTCAATAATTTTAATGGGATCGCGCTCCGACGTACTCGTAAAAAATAGGTTGTTATGCATCGAATCATAACTATAACATAGAACCAGACTATACCCTATCTGCAATATTCATTTGAAAGATTTAGCAATAATGCAAGATAAAGGAATAAACAAGAAGATGTGGTGAAGTAAAATGTCACAGACAGAAAGATGATTATGAAAAATTATTCTCTCTCTCTCTCTCTCTCTCTCTCTCTCTCGTTCTCTCAACGCCATTTTCCTTCTTCATCTCTTGTACTATTTTCTTTTCCGCTCCTTGCTTTTATTCCGACATTATTCCTTTGATCTCAGTAACCTTGATATGGAGAAAGAAAACACAGAACGAGCGCCTGATGATATCAAAATAAGAAGGGGTAGGGGGGCTTGTTATTTTTGCAGCTGTCATAATTACTGTTCTTCAAAAATTTTAATGGGATCACGCTTCGGGTTTTCCTTTAAAAAATTGTTATTAATCATAACTATAACGTAGAACCAGACTTTACCCTACCTGCACTATTCATTGAAAGATAAAGGGAATAATGCAAGATAAAGGAATACAAAAGATGTGGTGAGGTAAAATGTCACAGACAGAAAGATGATTATAAAAAAAATGATTGTCTTTCTCTCATTCTCTCAACTCCATTTTCCATCTTCATCTCTTGTACTATTTTCTTTTCCAATCTTTGCTTTTATTCCGACATTGTTCCTTTTGATCTCAGTAACCTTGATATGGAGAAAGAAAACACAGAACGAGCGCCTGATGATATCAAAATGAGAAGGAAGTAGGGGTCTTGATATATTTGCAGTTGTCATTATTGTTCTTTAATAATTTTTTGGGGATCACGCTTCGACGTTTTCCTAAAAAAAATAGGTTGTTATTAATCATGATTATAACGTAGAACCAGACTTTACGCTATCTGCAAGGGGGGGGGGGGGGGAGTCGGTGAAAAAATATCATAATATTGTACAGACTACGTCCAACTTTCTATCTCTCCCGCCCCGCCCCCCTCTCTCTGTCCGTCTCTTTGTCAATGTCGTTTTCCATCTTCATCTTTCATAATGTTTTCTATTCCTCCATTTGCTTGTACGCCGGCGGCATCCCTTCCTTGAGATTAATTATTATAACATATCCCTAATGATGTACGCATATACCTCATAGTTTATAGGGAACGCAAATAGAGAACAATATCAAAATATATAAACAAACAAAACAGAAAGAAACTAAAGAAAAATCAAGAGTGGGGCGGGGGGGGGGGGGGTTGATTGTAAATACAATACAGACTATATAACGATACTTGTTCTCTCTTTTCCTCTCTCAAACCCCCATTCACACTTTTCAAGATGAATATTGAAATGAACTAAAGCTCTTATTCCTATCACTCTATGTTATCTTCCCTATTTTCCGATGTACAAACCACCAAGGCAATTCAATTCTCATTTCATCTTGATAAAAATCATAACCTCATTCTTGATCCCCGCTGTCTGTACGATGCACACTATCACTCCCAATTTGATCCCGGCTATCTGTGTAACCCCCTCCTTAACCCCCCCCCTTTTTTTTCTCCCCTCTCTCTCTCTCTCTCTCTACTCTCTTGCTCCCTCCCTCGCTCAATCCCCGATTCACAGTTCTCAAGACGAATACCGGTAATGAAATAAACAAAAGCTATCACATCTTCCGTATATAAGTTATCAAAAGGCATTTAATTCACAGGCAAAGCAACATCAAATATCTTGACAAATTATATAAAATAAACAATAACAACAATTAAAAATAACCTGATGAGTGAGTTGTCTGAAACATTACATTACATTATTTAATTGGTGATACGTGCCACCCTGTATAAGTATCAGAAATAAATAAATAAATAAATAAATAAATAAATTAGGCCTACATACAGTATAAGTTCAGACAAAGATTCTGCTGGCAAGCTACATGTTCTTCAGATCAGTTCATACTGCTATTTACAATGCACATGTACAGAATTTTGTTCAATCAATCAATGTTGGTTCAAAGCACATGATAAAGATGAAGGAAAACTGGCAATATATTGCTTTCATTACAGCGAGAAGTGTATCAAACAACACCATTTCATGCAGGCAGCTTCTATATCTCAACTTTACAATATTAAGATTTCAACAAGCACTGTACATGTATAGACTGTATATACTCAATCATTGTAATAAATATGGATAATGTAGGCAAGATCAAATGTCCACAAATAAAACAAATTGATCATCTATAAAAACATTCAGTCAAATAATGTCATGACAACAATGGCATAGATAAATGAAACATGAATCAAGTACAATGCATCAAATGAAAGCAGATACAGATTACGGAACAATAACGTACCAATGTCCATAAAGGAATATTGCATTCTTTCACCTCAATGTAATAATCAGTAAGTGTTCTCATGGAAGTCGCTTCACGATATGTACATGTATGTGAGTGAAGTGACACATTATACATTTCCAAATATACTCAATCATTGTAATAAATATGGATCATGTAGGCAATATCAAATGTCCACAAATAAAACAAATTGATCATCTATAAAAACATTCAGTCAAATAATGTCATGACAACAATGGCATAGATCATGGCAGTAATACATTATACATTTACAAATATACTCAATCATTGTAATAAATATGGATCATGTAGGCAAGATCAAATGTCCACAAATAAAACAAATTCATCATCTATAAAAACATTCAGTCAACTAATGTCATGACAACAATGGCATAGATCATGGCAGTGATACATTATACATTTACAAATATACTCAATCATTGTAATAAATATGGATCATGTAGGCAAGATCAAATGTCCACAAATAAAACAAATTGATCATCTATAAAAACATTCAGTCAACTAATGTCATGACAACAATGGCATAGATGATCATGGCAGTGATACATTATACATTTACAAATATACTCAATCATTGTAATAAATATGGATCATGTAGGCAAGATCAAATGTCCACAAATAAAACAAATTCATCATCTATAAAAACATTCAGTCAACTAATGTCATGACAACAATGGCATAGATCATGGCAGTGATACATTATACATTTACAAATATACTCAATCATTGTAATAAATATGGATCATGTAGGCAAGATCAAATGTCCACAAATAAAACAAATTCATCATCTATAAAAACATTTAGTCAACTAATGTCATGACAACAATGGCATAGATCATGGCAGTGATACATTATACATCTACAAATATACTAAGTTCTGTACTATCCGGAGCGATAATTTGCTTTGGTGTGGTATCGTTCAAAGCAAAGGATGTGGAGAGGGACTTCACATTTCCTGCACATGAATCTTGATTCTGGACGTGATGTTTGCTCTCCTTGTTGCCTGCGTTTTCCTAGGGGCTTGGGCTTGCACGCAACACATGGGCGAGTTGTACATGGCTTATTCGCTGTAGGAGGGATATGAATGGGCCAATGTTGTGATTCTAGAAATTCCAGTCTGAGTACATTTTCTTTGTTACATCTCCTTCCAGGTCTGAGTGGTCGTGGTCGGTCCTGTGCAAGCTTGTTTCCATAGGTAATCATCTGTTCGACAAGGTCTAGTACAAATTTCAAATGGTCTACCTTGCTATCCACTGCATGGCAGTACACAATGTATGCATTTGTCACTGCCAGATCATTTAGATGAAAGATGAGTTTTTTGTACCACTTGAGTGATTTCCTCATGTCTGCGTACGTGTTGGTTAGGAAGTCTGAGAGGTCTACCCCACCCATGTATTTATTGTAGTCGAGAACGATGTCCGGTTTCTGTATATTTTCCCCTGTCACGTGATGTTTTTTCTGTGTGTCGCTGAATGAGTTGGTATGGATAGTGCTCAGCATCGTCACATCACGTTTATCAAACCACAGCATGGCGAGCAGTTCCTTTGATCGTTTGAATATGGACATCCCACGGGTCATCTTTTGAGCAGGTTTCAGATTTTTGGGCATCTCAACTCTATTGGCTCTGACAGTTCCACAAGCATGAGTTTTCCGCTTGAAAAGTTCTCCAAAAAGCGTAGGACTCGAGTACCAATTGTCCATGAAGAGGCGGTATCCTTTGTCTAAAAGTCCTGTCATCATTGACATGACAAGTCCAACAATAGTATCCTTAGCTTTACCGGTGTACAGTCTAAACTTCCAAGTATACCCAGACGGATCACATATTTTATATGCTTTCATGCCATACTTTGCTGGCTTGCGGGGGTTATACGTCTTGAAGCTCAGGCGCCCATAGAACTTGATGAGGGCCTCGTCGATCGCGATGGAACGCCATGGTGTGAACACTGTATGGAACGCTGTTGTAACTGCATCATAAAATGGCCGGAGTTTGAAGAGCGGATCGTAGCTTGGGTCACTGCGCTGCTTGGCCTGGTTATTGTCATTGAAGTGGAGGAAGCGGAGCAGAAGACAGAAGCGATCCCGTGTCATAGTCTGGCCGAAGAAAGGGGTGGCAAGGATGTTCCTGGTAGACCAATAGAGATGGATAGCAGGTTTCCCGACGACTCCCATGAGCATGCACAAAGCCCAGAAGATGACGAGTTCTCCTGCATAACAAAAATAAGAAAAAAACAATTCTTCAATACTATATACATCTATGTAAAATGGAGACGAACCATAAACTTCACTTTAAACAATTTACTGCATTCATAAATAAAACAACAAGTACCTCAAAATCATACTGACATTTGAAAAGTCCTAATTTGTAAATATTTAAAAATCTTTAACATGTTTGTTTGTCTATTTCACACGTAACAAATATCAATTGTTATTTATAATTATATAATATGCTGAAGAAAATCACTTTGAGATAATTTCTGGATACAAAAATAGAAGTCTTCATCTGTACAAACCTGCACTAGTTCTGGTCCAGTTCTTGGCTGGTGATGACGGCGATGGAGGGGATTCTCTCAGGACCGAAGACGCATATCTGTTGGTCTCAACTGCAACTTCTTCAAACATTTCCTTCGACACATATTTGAGATAACAGTCCAGCGGAGTAGAATTTGGTGACAAACCTGTATCAGGACTGATACCAGGGGTGCCTGTGAACTCGAAGTGTTGCGGTTTGTCAGATGGGTTATCCTCCCAAGTCTGCCCCACTGCAGCTCCGACTCGACGACGCTTGTTCCCGCTACCCCCGGCACGGAGGAGGTGGAAATAGGCTCAGCTGTGGCTTGGTCCCCCGTAGACCGAATTTTCCGTCTCTTTCGTTCGTTAGCCTCTTATTGGGGTAGGGTCGGCTCTCTCTTTAGAGACGGAAGCCGTTTATACACATGTCCTTGCTAACGCCACGGCCAGTTCTGGTCGTAGCGTTTTGCCCCCAAAATCCCCCAAAATGTCATTTTACCTCGAGCATGTTATATTGTAAATTAGGCCTAGGCTATAATAAATCAGTTCCACTTACCAACTTGACTGAAATAATCAGTTTAATAGTCCCTTTTAGGAAATTATGGGTCAAAATCGAAATCCATTTTGAAAATCTTTTTCAACATGGATTCCGATTTTGACCCATAATTTCCTAAAAAGGGACTATTAAACTGATTATTTCAGTCAAGTTGGTAAGTGGAACTGATTTATTATAGCCTAGGCCTAATTTACAATATAACATGCTCGAGGTAAAATGACATTTTGGGGGATTTTGGGGGCAAAACGCTACGACCAGAACTGGCCGTGGCGTTAGCAAGGACATGTGTATAAACGGCTTCCGTCTCTAAAGAGAGAGCCGACCCTACCCCAATAAGAGGCTAACGAACGAAAGAGACGGAAAATTCGGTCTAGGTCCCCCGTAACTCCAGGGTCGGTTCGGTCTGGATCGAGGGTATCACTACGAGTGCTGGCGGGGTTTACAGGAGTATTTCCATTCGTGGACTCTGCTGTACCCTCTAATTCGAAGAAATCATCGAATGTCGTTGTTTCATATTCTTCATTTTCTACGTCCGACGAATACTCTTCTTCGCTTGATAAGTCCATTTTATCATATTCATTTTCTGAGTCCGAGTCAAGGATCGCTTCTCGAGCATCTTCAACGCTAAACAGAGGCTTTCTCCGATGACGAGACATTTTGAGAAACTATCTTACATAGATAAAGAGCAGTTATAAGCAAAGAATTGAGAACTAATTTGTGCAACCAACTATCATGAAAATCAAAAAGCTGAACTAAATAGTGAAACTCCGACACTTTATCGCACGATAAGTAAATAATAGCCGACAACCTAGAAACGAAACAATGGGATGGACTATATCGAGACTAGCTAATCTCCCCAATAATAGGTTGGCCCGGTACCCTGTATACGTACGCATGAGTGACCTGAACTGAGAGCGCGAGGTCGAACGCGACTGTAATATACTATAAGCTATTCAATAATCGGCCCGTTACCATGAATAGGCGTCAATGACCATATAAGGCCAAGGCTCATGCATTGAACCGTGTATCCGCGCGTGCCGTGTACAAAGGTATCCAGAGCGAGTGTGGAATTCGCTGCTTGTACAATCATTATGTCCGGCTTGCGTTATTTTTTTATGCGGCACAGATTGGGGCTTTTTTTAAAAAGGGGTCTTGATTTACAGACTAATACTGGTCGTGTGCGTACTAGACAGTATAAGTAGTAGAGGTCTGTTTTTAATAGTGTTACATGTAATCCACTACCGCATGGAAAATCATTACATCAACAATTAAAATCAAATTGGAAATCTGAAGACGAGGCAGCACGTCAGAACATCACAATAATTAGTCAATAAAACTTAACTAACTTAAACGAAGAGGAATGTTATCTAAACACATAGTTCGCGATGGATATACAAACTTCTTCGCAGCGCTAATGCGCTAGCGAACATGACTAGTCTCACGTACGTGCAGACACTATTCAGAAGGGAAAGAACGTACTTCCCATAGGTTTAACACGCGCCATGCCCCAATCTGTGCCGCATAAAAAAATAACGCGTCCGGCTTACACAGTCCTAGGCATAGTAGACCCACCTAGCTAGCAGCAGCGAATTCGAAAATCTATGAAAATAACGTAAACTGACTTGCATGTGTTCTATACGAATATCCTGAAAGAGAACTCGTGCATTCTCATGCTAAACTTGTAATAAAACAAAAACTACGCATCTACAGTCGGTAAAAAATGAGATGCATGTAGCCAAAGGTTCAAGGTTTGTATACAGGTAGTTTATATTGTATTTAGAAGTTGAATAGATGTACTTTTCTGCAATATAAGAAGCCCTTCCTCGGACCCGAGGAATCTCGGTTCCCGTTTGTGAGTACGTACCTCGGGACCCGAGAAATCTCGGTTCCCGAGCTGAACGGGTTAAATGTAATTTTCAATAACAAAAGAATAATTAACAATTCATTTTTGCTCTTGGTGATGTGTGTTTGCAAAATGGGTGCATTAATAACTTAATGTATTCTTAATGGGTCATCCGGCATCACCAAATTATTTAAGTGTTAATAAAGGGCTAATCAATGTTTGACAGTATTTATGATTTTTAATGTTTCAGTGGCTAATGCAACATGTCACTTGTGTCATGTGGTGGAGAGGGAGTCCTATGGGAATGATTGAAAATGAAAACCATGTTTAAAAAAAATGGATAATGATTATTGATATATTAATCTATGGCAGGTTGTTGAAAGCATCAAGAGAAATTAAATTGATATTTCTGTGTGTATTTAAAGTGGATTATGCAACAAGTCACTGATATGTGATCACTGATGGAAAGAGAAAGAGAGAAGGGGGAGGGAGGTAGAGAGAGAGAGAGAGAGAGAGAGAAAGAGAGTTTGAGTTTGAGTTTGAGTATGTTAACTCCGTTATCTGAGAATGTTTACACTAGAAAACTGAAGAAGGAGGAATTAATTTCTTATATTTAAAGTTTAGCAGGTTGTCCGATGTAACACTGAAATCCAAATAATTTGTCTATTTTCTAGTTGGTTACTCAACATGTCACTGGTGTCATGTGATGGAGAGGGAATCCTTTGAGAACGTGGACATTGGAAAGCTGATGAATGAACACTACGTCAGCATCAAGGTGGACAGAGAGGAGAGACCAGATGTTGATAGGGTCTATATGACATTTATTCAAGTAAGTGCATCTGGATGGGTTATTGGTACTCTGAAGGTTACCTAACATGCTGCGCCAGTGACAATGTCTTCAGGCTCTATTTTCTCAAAGAGTTAGGGTTGTGCTTAGTGTGAGGGTTAGGGTACTCGGTAGCAGTCGCGCAATGGTTAGGTTTAGAGTTTGGGTAGGGGTCACAATTTGGATTAGGTTTAGAGTTAGGTACTGTGTCCAGTCCAGTGTTGAAGCAAGCACTTTCGTTAGTTAAGGTTATTGACCATGGAGAAAATGTTCACATAAGCATGTGTCATGGAACTGTTTTTGAATATTTTCTATTTAATTTACCTGCAATGCTGAGATGGTGAGGACTCGAACCAAGTCACCCAATAGAAACATTATAAATAACCACTATACTTCTCTAGGTAGATGGCCTCTATTGTCAGGTTGCGAAAATAAATTTAATCTTAAATGGGAAACATTCAAAGTGTTTCCTGTATTTGACTCTTCGTGCTTGTAGCTAAACAGCTTTGAGACCTGTACAGAGATGCCAACTGTTCCATTTTTGACGTATTTGTTCTGTTTTTTTGCTTTTTTATATTGATGTTTTTTTTAATTTCCGATCATGGGCTTTGTGTCGTAAGTGTATTATGCACATATGTCTTCAAGCAATGCACGCAGGACGGTGATACGGCCCCAAACTGCGCACATTGCGAACAACTCGCATATACTGTATGCACGTCGCACTCCGATCCGGGTATGTATACGTGGTACTGCCGTTTTTTTTTAGCTGCTTGATTGGGCGATATGTTAAAGGGATCCGGTAACTTTGTCTCAGATTCTGAAACAAAATTCTGGATTTAGCTCATGATGCAATGATAATTCTAAACCTTTAGGTCAGTCAGGAACCCCATGACTTTTACAAGCCGATCGCTTGTCTGATTATCAAGATATTTATGATTGGGATTACAAATTTTGAAAACCGTTCGCCTGACGGTTTTCATAACACTACAGTCTATTGGGGTTAACGAGTATGGTAAAACCGGTCACTCAAAGATTTTTACTTTTTTGAGGCACTTCTTGATCATTTTGAAGCGCAATTTTTTTAGGGCTTCAATATTACACCTTATCGCAGACACTGATAACACCTAGGGCAGTGTATCTCAGATTTAACATTGTTAAACGATCCCTTTAAGGTGAGAGATTTTTTCAAAAATACTGTTTTTTGCTCTTAAGAATACTTTTGTTTGTTGATAAAGGTTGGCATCTCTGCCTGTATATTTTTCAGACCAGAATTTTTTGCCTTGCCACCTTGTTGACGAAGGTACCATTTTGAATATAATTTTACAGGGGGATTCAGTTTGATACCCACATTGTTTCAGCAGAATGTTCAATCCACTCATTTGGCTAGACATGGGTATAACTATAATATTATAGTATTAATGACTGCTTTGAGAGAAATAGTTGTTTTATTACGCTCAAGGGAAGGTTAGAATTGTGCTATTCCCCGAGGCTTGCCGAGGGGAATAGCCCAATTGTAACCTTCCCGAGAGCGTATGAAAACAAATATTTCTCGAATATTAAAGCAGTCATTAATACTTTTATATGCCGAAAAAAAATAGACTAAAAAATGAAAAATTAAAAATATTTCTCATTTTTGTCGAAGACGGGATTCGAACTCTTGCGTACATCAAGAGGTGTACCGAAAACCAACGCTTAGACCACTCGGCTATGGCCCGCCGTTAACATGCTTGGCAGTTTTCTCCAATATATACATTAAAATGGATTGAAACCGGCTTCGCGTGTGATGAATGCTTCGCAAAAGCTCCATATACGGACTCTTCTTTTACTTTTGCAATGCATATTGGCACGAACTTAGATCAAGATCTATCGGCAGATGTTGTTTTTTGTTTTTGGAAGTTTATTTTCGTCTTCATGTCAACAATGCAAGATAAAATTGTCGGTAAGATCGATCGAGATTCAATTGTATTGAAATTACCGACCAATCCTTCGCACACATACGGCATCCTCCATCGCTCAAACCATTTTTAACATGTAAACCTATGGGGTAACCATGGAGGCTGACCAACTATTTTTAATAACCATGGTTATTAAAAATATTGAAATGTTTTAAGCATGGTTACCGAGAATTTTACAGGAACAGTTGAAGTTTATGAATGCAATTCGACCAATCAGATGGCTGGATTTCTTAAGTGAGGTATATAATATCCGATACATTATGATTATACATACTCATGTGAAAATAGCTATTTGTCAATGTAGTATGTACATTTACCGGTATGTTGTTGGTGCTATAATTTATGCTCTTCAAAGTAATGGTAAGATTTGTGGATCATCTAAACTCCTTCTCGCCCACCTCTTCATTTCTCTAGGCTACTGCTGGAGGCGGTGGTTGGCCGATGAGCGTCTGGTTGACCCCTGACCTAAAGCCCCTGATGGGGGGTACATATTTCCCCCCTCACGACAGGTTTGGCAGACCAGGGTTTCCTACAATTCTACAGTCAATTGCCAGGCAGGTTAGTAGCTTAGACTGGTCCAGTTTGTTTTATTTAGCCCCATTTCGATATGACTTGGTAAACAACCTGAAAAAAATGTCATTGTAAAACATATAATTTTTGAATTAGTGACTACAGGGATGAAAGTTTGTAGCTGTGTGTAAGAATGGCCTCTTTGCACACTTTCTGAGATGACTTAAAGTATAATATGAGTCACAGATCTGTATCTTATAACACAGAACTCAGTTGATATATGCAGGACCTTTGTTGCACACAGTTGACATTTATTTACAAATAAAGAAGCCTTTGTGTCATTTTGGTTGCTTTATGAACTTGAATTGAGGATGTTATAAATAATAAAATCTCAAAGAGTGATATCCTGTGCCAAACTTTTGCCTGACTGCATGTTTATTCATCGGTATCGGAGGGTGTGTCTTGCGGCTTCCCTCAGTATAAACATTATAATCTCAACTGGTAGATCACATAAACCGAATATTGTCACAACCTAAATCAAAGGGATGATTCTCAAACTTATTTTGGTTATATGTTTCCTACCTACAGTGGGGGGAAAACAGAGAAGCCCTTGAACAGCAAAGCACTAAGATCATAGAAGCTCTGCAGGCAGCGGTCAAGGTCAAGTCCACCAGTGACCCTTCACCCCTAGGGACAGAGGTCATGGAGAAGTGCTTCAAGCAACTCACAGATAGCTTTGATAACCAGTATGGCGGGTTTGGAGGAGCTCCTAAATTTCCTCAACCAGGTAACGTGTGTAGAGTCATTCAAAGTAAGGAAACCAAAGTAATTTTTTTTCAGAGCGATTGAAAAAACTGAATGGTAATATCATAGTGTTGGAGAAGAGGTATGGTAATTGCAGAGGTTGAAAAATACATTGGCTTATTTGGAGGTGCTGTGGTCTAATAGATACGTCACCAGACTGTGGATCACAAGGTTTGCTGTTTGAGTCCCACTGCGGCACTTATGTCCTTGGCAAGATATCAATCTACATATGCCACACCCAACCCATGTGAGATAAATGGGTACCTGGCAGGAATCAATTCCTTGAAATGCTAGAGACTAGAGCGCAATAATGACAGGTTGTTGTTGCTGTTGTTTTTTATATTTATTTGCACTCACCCCTCTGATGTTAGAGCAAAACATTAGATAGCATATTATGAAACACTTTCGTATTTGGAAAACCAAACATCTATATCAAAGATAAAGATAAACATTTTGTGTCAAGGCCTATTTTTTCGAAAGCATTTACATTATCAAACAAAAATTGGTCTGTCAATTCAATTGCGACAGTGTATTATGGTAACTTGGTTGCAATAAATTACTGGTATGTGTATATTTCTTTTGCAGTGAATTTCAACTTCCTGTTTAGACTGTATTCAAGTCCCCCTGGTGAGAGTGAGATAGGTGAGAGGGGGCTTAAGATGTGCTTACATACCCTGAAGATGATGGCTAAAGGAGGGATACACGACCATGTCAGTCAGGTAAGAAGCTCTATTATGTAAGGTTTTGTTCAAGGTTATTTTGGCTCAGGAAAGCCAGAAGGATGTTGCAAGAAAGTTGCGATTGATTGCAAGTTGCAAAATTTGCAACTGATATTTACAATCGATTGCAACTCAACTTTCTTGCAACGCCCCTCTAGTCTCCTAAATTTCCTAGGATTTTGTTAGGATTAAAGTTTTAACAATTAAATTAAGGTAACTACATCTAGCTTTTATTCTCTCTCTCTCTCTCTCTTTCTTACTAATGGGGCGTTGCCAAAAAGTTTAATTGCGATCTACCGTATTGCAAATTTGCAAGTAACCGCAAGATTTGCGCTTGATTTGGGGGATTTGCAATATATTGCTTCTTTCTTGCAATGCCCCAGTGGGCTAATTGTTTTTTCTAAGACTTGACGTTCTTCTGGCTCTCAGCATACAATCGACATGGTTTAATAGAGATGTTTCTATATACCCTTAAGATGATGGCTAGAGGAGGGATACATGATCATGTTAGTCAGATAAAAAAGCTTTAAGATCCAGTTGATAGTAAATTAAACTTTGTATTCAATCAATGTTGGTCTTTTATTTGTTAAATTATGATCATCTTTGTCAAATTAAACAGTATAAAATCAATGTTAAGCTACATAAACACCAAGTTGACAGAAACTTTAGCTCAGACCTGCTCGCATGTGTTGTATTTCTATGTTTAGCACTTCTGCGAGGCTTTGAGGTCATGCTAGTTTGAGTTTAAATTTGTTTCAATTTCATGCCCCTTTGGAAGACGATTTAGATGATTGTGTTTTTGCTTTCCTTTGTACAGGGTTTTCATCGGTACTCCACCGATCGTTTCTGGCATGTACCTCACTTTGAGAAGATGCTGTATGATCAGGGACAGTTAGCAGTAGCATACCTAGATGCATATCAGGTAAGATATTGATGTACAGGGTGCTCTTATGTCAGTCTGGTGGCGCTAGCTGCGCTGCTGTGGCCATCACACGTTTAAGCCATCCTTCTCTGTCTTCTGTAGCTCTTGTTACCTCCAACAGTTTTTTCCCTTCCCATATGTGGATGTCTTTCATCCAGGAAACAGCAGGTCTGCCTCTTATTCGCCTGGCGCCCACTGTTCATGTTATAACTGACTTTCGGGGACCATCTCTCCTTACTGCACGGTGCTACAGAAATATATATCATTTGAAAAGATGTTGAGTGAGCATAGAAAACAGGCATCAGTCATAATCAGATGTCTACAAATGGAGCTAAATTCATGTACAAGGTGTCAGAAGGAAAAAATTGATTTACCAGTAACTATTGACCCAAATCACATAATATATCATATTTGGGTGCTACAGGAAAGAAGTATGACCAGCTAATTTGCATGGATACCAGGTACACACAAATCGAACTTGCCCCCATAGCGCATCTGGACCTTGATTGTGCTGCCTATAAAGCCTTATTTATTTTCTGCAATGCATCCATAGTAAAAGAAGTTAACAAGATTATCAAGATTAACATCATTGTATTCTTTTCCGTTTGTTCTGTTAATCTCAGATTACCAAAGAGGCTGTTTTTGCAGATGTGGCTCGAGATATATTAGAGTATGTTGGTCGAGACTTGAGTGACAAAGTAAGTCATCGGAATGTGGAGATTCTGATAAAGTCTTTGTTTCCCCCCAAATATTTTACATCTCTATATTTGTTATCTTAGTTACACATGCTTGAAATGTAAATGAAAGTTCAAAGATACATGGTTAAATAACAGAAATGCTGAAAACATAACATTAGCAAACATCTTTTGCCTTTCATTTGTGGACATGTGATCAATCTGGTACCTGCTACATATTCAATGATTGCATTTCCAATTTCTTAATTGTCTCTTCGAAAATTGAACTTGAAATTCAATTGGCAATATATATTTCCAGACACATTTATCTCAATATAGTAAACATATTTAAATGAACCTTTCAAGAAAAAAAAACCTTGGTATGATGACAAAAGTATTTGGCAGTTAATAATAATAGTCATAGTTCGTTCATATATATATATATATATATATATATATAGCGGTTTTCAGGACCGCAGGCGCTCTCATAGCGCTCTACAGATATATATTATTACCCCGGTCATCGGATTCAGGCTTACCTGCACACAATGTATGCACATTCTCCACTCCCTGGGGAGCATTCCAGCCAGGCGTCATTTTTACAAGCGCATACTTGCTTATCTTACCACATTAACTTTCACATCCTACCGGGCACCCATTTAACACCTGGGTGGAGAGTAGCAAATGTAGATCAATGTCTTGCCAAAGGACATTAGTGCCACGGCAGGGCTTGAACCACAGACCTTGTGATCCACAGTCAGGTGACATATCCACTCAAAAACGATACCTCTACAGTTGCATCATATGAAATATTTTTCTGCATTTTTTTCCTGCATTTTCAAGGCAGGTGGGTTCTACAGTGCAGAAGATGCTGACTCACTGCCTGCAGCGGATGAGACTCACAAGAAAGAAGGCGCTTTCTGTGTCTGGACGGACACAGAGGTTAGGACGCATCTGAGTGATATGGTGGAAGGATCTGACTCGGTCACGTTAGCAGATGTGTTCTGCAAGCACTATGACATCAAAACAGGAGGCAATGTGGACTTTGAACAGGTAGAGTTCATATTATAGTCAAACCTGCTTTAGTGACCACCTGTCTACAAAGGCCACATTTGTTGTTTCCCTTGAAAATGGTTTCCCATTGAATCATGTACTAAAAGACCTGTCTACAAAGACCACCTGTCTACAAAGGCCACTTTTTGTGTTTCCCTTGGGCGGTCGCTATAGACAGGTTTGACTGTATAAAGATTTTAAAGTGAAATTTAGTGACGATACATGTACTTTAATTGGTGTGACATAAATTCACTGAATAAGCGACAGCCAAAATCTTTTGATGATAATTGTGTAATTGCTGCATTGAAATAAGTATGTAATTGCCAAAAATTGATGATTGATTAATATTCAGCAATTTAAAGTGAAGTTTAGTGAGGATACATGTACATTCAATTTGTGTGACATAAATTCACCGAATAAAACTGACTGCCAAAATCTTTTGATGGTAATTGCTGCATTCAAATAAGTATTTAATTGCCAAAAATTAATGATTGATTAATATTCAGCAATTGATATTGATATGAAATAATGGCTCGTCTATTCTACTGTTAAACAAGAAACTTTTACCAAATGAAACTCTCCTGAATGAAAAATGATAGCAATTCTCATGGCAAGAAACTTTTCTAGATCGCGGAAGTTCAGTGTTGTGTCAAGAGTGATCAAATGATTTTATGGCATGAAACCTTGGTGACTCCAAAGCACTTAGGAACACTCAGGATATTTCATGTGCACAGAAGCTTTTTGTTTAAAGGGAGATGGTTGTCATTTCCATGTGCAGTAGGTCATAATCACACCAGACTTGGTGGAACTGCCATTGGGTGTACAAGTCTTGCACACAGCAAACCTGTGGTCCCATCAAGAAATACCCTCTAGTCTCTTAGAGAGCCTTCGGCGAGGGAAATGTAAGATAAAGAGTAAAGACTGGTGCCTTTGGTGGGAAATGCAGAGCATTACGTAAGACAAACACAATTTTTTATGTGCTTAATTACCATTGTATTATTGTATTTTCTTTATCCCATTTTTGTTTTTTATGTGTACATTTTTAGGATCATCTACCTATAAGTTTTTGTAACTTTTTTGATGATCCAACCACTTCGTAATTTCCTTTAGTGCATTTTCCATTTTATTGGTTTATCTATCTTTGCCTTTGTATTTTTTTATGAAAGTGGTGAATAAATTCAATTCAATTCAAGGCCTGTTTTTTATAAACCTGAAGGCTAATCCTTGTGTTTGACAACACCTTCTATTGGATAAACACCTTTATGGTGTCAAATTTCTCATGAGAGCCTACTACTACCCGTCTTTAACAGTAGCGTAATTTAATCATGTTTACTCTAGGACCCCCATGGTGAGTTGAAGGATCAGAACGTACTCATAGCTCGAGGTTCTGTGGACTCTACTGCTTCGATGCTCGGTCTGACCGAAGGGACGGTAGAGGCAGCATTGGAGACGGCCAGGAGGACACTGCATGAAGTCAGGTTAGAGCGCCCTCGTCCTCACCTGGATGATAAGATGCTCACAGCGTGGAACGGTAAGAATCAAAGACATAAGCTTTATTGAGGGCCAGAAGGACATTAATGGTATACTTTGCCCATTTGCAGGCCAAAAAAATGAAAAGGTTAAATTCCAACAGCATTTGAAAGATGATAATAATTTAGAACTTCTCCAAAAAAGGGGGGCTTGAAAAATGTCTTTAAGTGGGGAAATAATGACTATTAGTTGTTGAATCGACTTAAGTAATACCAATACAGTAAGTAATAGTCTGATTTTCAGACCATTGTGGCAAATGATCTTATGTTATGTGCTGCACAAAGATTCAATCAGTTTCATTTTGGCCATTACAAGAAGTGGGTTATTGATGTAGACCTACTGCTCATGTACCCTTTACAGCTCATTTTATGTATGTTATTACCAAAGAAGAAAAAAGGCAGTCGGTCACTCAGTAGTGTCTGACAGTGAATTCTAGCAAGTAAACGGGTTTCCTTGCATAATTTGAATATTAGGACACTGCTAATGTTTAAATTTCACAGAAAGGACATACATGACATATTCATAATTCCTGCAAAGTTCTACGGAATTTGATGTTAGCTGCAAAACACGAATATTCGTACAGCATGTTTATGGGTAAGAATGACATGGATATCATTGTTGCTATATCTGACATGCCTCTGGCATGCTTTCAAGTCATAAAAAGCCAGTTTTGTCCAAGAAGGTATACATAAAATTGGAAACAGGCCTATTTGAGCACCTTTGTGAGATTTTGAGTACATTCTTTTCTTCTCTCCTGAATGTGGTAGGGTTGATGATATCTGGGTTTTCAAGGGCAGGGCAGGTGCTTCAAGCCCCAGAGTTCACACAGCGAGCAGAACAAGCGGTAACCTTCATCAGGCAGCACCTGTACGACCCTTCCACAGGCTGCTTGCTCAGGAGTGCCTATAGGAACAAAGAGGGAGACATTGCTCAAATGTAAGTCAAGCAAACACTCTTTCAAAATGTTTTAAAACCATTTGATTTGTTGAAAATGGTTGGTAATGGATGAAGATTTGTGCTGATGTCAGCAGGTGCTTGCCAAATTTCGAATTTTAGTTTCTGATTTCGGATGATTTCTTTAATTGAAAATTGAAAATTCAATTCAGAAGACTTTCACATAAAAATGAGTATGCCCAAACTGGTATAGAATTTATACTTTTTTAAAAAACTTATGTTTATTTTCCTGCAGTACAATGCAAATAATCTCTGAATTTTTGCTGGTTATTCTGGTTTAAATGCTTTTTCAACTTAGGGGTCAATCACTGCTTATATTGACACAGTGTCATATATGAATGATTCTGCAAGTGTATAAACTACAAAGCAAAAGAATATATGGTGGGGGGGGGGGGGGGGGGGACACAGTTGAATTTGAAAATGATTTATCACTGTCAATTCTCCTTTAATTGGTTTCTCCCAATCAGCCCCATTCCAATCCAGGGTTTTGTAGACGACTACTGCTTCTTGATCAGAGGCCTGCTGGATCTTTATGAAGCTAATTATGATGAGCAGTGGATTGAATGGGCAAGTCAGCTCCAAGAGAAACTAGACGAGTTGCTATGGGATACAGAGAATGGTGGATACTTCTCCACTACCGATAAAGACTCCTCCATCCTCCTCAGGTTAAAGGAAGGTGAGCAGTTCGTCCTTGACCTTTTAAAGCCCCACTGCACTTCTTGTAGGTACTTGCTCCCTCTATATAGAAAATAATGTCTAAGCAGTGCCCGTTGGTCCCCCATGATCCTCTTTGTCTTATGTTAATTGAGAGCTGAGTTAATCCCTCCTTACCAAACTAGTACAGACGGGCACCCCTAATTTGGGGCCAGATTTGAAAAATAATTGTGGAATGTACTAACTGAGATATTTTCTCCTAGTTTTATATATCTTTATTCAACCCCATCTACACAGCATTTCAGTCTGTAGAAATGGTTGTTATAAATTTTTAACTTAGATGCTGCTTATAAGTATCAGCTTGCATGGTGATGTAGAAATACAGTAGGCTTACGGTTGCACCACCTGAGAGCGGGGCGAGGATTGGGGAGTCCTGAAAAGGACTGTCGATAATCTTTCTTTCTTCAGTGTGTGTGTAGTCCTGAAAAGGACTGTTGGTAATCTTTCTTTGAGCTTATAGTTCTATGGAGAACTATAGTGCTGATTAAAGAGGATGGGTGGTAGGAGGGGCTCAACGTTTTGAACAGGTTGACTATCCGTCGTCAGAAAGCACCCCCACGTCCGCAACCTGTTGACTTAAGCCCATGCACGCCAGCTATTCCCCACTCCTGACGACGGACAGTCAAGCTGTTTAAAACGTTGAGCCCCTCCTACTACCCATCCTCTTCAACCGGCGCTATAGTTATCTTTAGGGCTATAAGCTCAAAGAAAGATTATCAACAGTCCTTTTCAGGACTACCGGTACACACACACTCAAGAAAGAAAGATTCCCGACAGTCCTTTTTAGGACTCCCCAATCCTCCCCCTCTCTCAGATGGTACAACCGTAAGCTGACTGTATACATTTTTAACTTCTCTTTATCATATCCTTCATATCTTTCTCTATCCTTCATATAAACAAAGTTAGAAATTTAACAAATTTCATGTTTGCATGCTTCTTCCAATTTCAAGACAATTTAATGTGATATTTAACCTGAATTGAACTTGCAGACCAAGATGGTGCAGAGCCCAGTGCCAATTCAGTAGCCTGCATGAATCTCCTGAGGCTCTCTCACTACCTGAACAGACCTGACTACCAGGAGAAGGCTTCCAAGCTCTTCTCTGTCTTTGGAGAGAGACTGCAGAAGATACCCATAGCATTGCCAGAGATGGCCTCGGCACTGCTCTTCCAAGAAAGCACAGCCAAGCAGGTATGAGAGGATGTCCCAATATGCTATTTTCATAATGTGATCAAATTTAATGCATAAGTCTATGTTAAGTGCCTCGTTACAAATTATTTAACTCACCAGTTACGAATAAATGTATTTCAATAGTCAGAATGCTAATTACATACTTTAAATGTTGCCAGGTACATCTGTAGGGCAAGCCATAATATTTGTCCTAATATTTGTCAAATAACACAAAATAACCCCCCCCCCCCCTAAAACAAAACAAAAGGGAGCAACAATAACAACATAGAAAAATACATGCTCAAGCCAATCAGCGCAGACTTTCAATTAATTATGCACAGTGTCACCTGTGAGTTTAAAGGGAGTGTAGCCTGACGAGACTACGTGTCTTTGCCGTGGCCTGACTTGGGGGCCAATCGGGTATAATACAACTACGGATGACAAGACCGCAGCAATCACGTGTGTGCAACATACGCGAAACCAAAACGTGAGGAGAACTTCAGTCTGTTTTGCAAACGCTGACCATGTAGAGATTAAGTCGCTGACTACCGTTAATCAAGTCCATTCGTTTACGTGCAGTTGTCCAAAAGAATATGTACATGGCATTAACCATTATTTGCCAAGCTACACTCCCTTCAACCTCAGTATTAACTGAACCTTGTGCTCTTTCCACAATCACAGATCATCATCTGTGGTGACCCGCAAGCAGAGGACACCAGGCTGCTCCTGCAGTGTGTCCATACTCACTACCTACCCAACAAAGTCCTCATCCTCACTGACGAAGGCCAGACATCCGGCTTCCTATCGTCACGCCTAGACATCCTCAAGACACTCCAGAGGATAGATGGGAAGGCTACGGCGTACGTGTGTGAGAACTACCAGTGCCAGCTGCCTGTCAACAGCGTGGATGACCTCTCAGACTTGCTGAAGAAATGAACAGCTTGCATTTAAGTGATGTCCCACTTTCATTCGACCCTAGAAAATTTCTCTTATTTAGGGGCTCAGTTCAAATTTTGGACAAGAATTTTGTCCCTAGAAGGAAATTTTAAGGGCTATTTGAGGGGCTATTGTGTAGGAAGGATGTAGGTTGCAATACATATAAGCAACTTCCTACTTTTATTCAACCTTCAAGTACATTGTGCTCCAGGTGCACTTTTCAATTTAGCCCAGAAGGAAACTTTAGGGGGCTATTCAACTTGATGAAAGTTTGCGATAAGTAACTTCTTATTTCAACTCTTCTTAGTTCTTGCCTGGAATATGGCTCTGTGATGAATTGCAACAACAAAAAAATTCCTGAATGAGGAATAGTTGGGCTCTCTCAGAAGCTATGAATGATGAGCAATGCTTTTGTTCTATGCAGTACCTGGTGTAATACTACATTATGCATCCATCTCAAATTCGCCTTAAACTGGATGCCAGTTTTATTGCTTTCAACTGATTTCAAGCCCTGACACCACTCTGTTTCAAGCATTTTCAGAATTTTTCAGGTTTACAGTGCACAAAACATACATCTGTATGGCTGCGAAATATATTAGCCCCTTTGCAGGTGAAATAATTGAAATTAACTGGTGTTCATAGTTGCCACAAATAATGTGAACATAGATTCTGAGATAGGAAAAAAAAAAACATCAATCAAAGTCATAATGAGTTTGAAGGTTGACATTTAATTCATGACCATCCTCAGGAACTGAAGTTAAATGTATACATGCACTGCTTATATATATATATATATATATGTAGTTAGGAGGCTTGACAACATAAAGTAAATTAATCAATTATGAATCGAAGATGTCCGTGATGTAATGAGTTAAATTGGTTTAAAAGGTTGACTCAAATCTTTAATATTCAGGTAAAAAGATTTCTCATGTATTTTTTTTATAACTATTATACTGTAGCTAAATTTTTTTGAAATTACAATAGTGTGCACAAACAGTTTCACAATGAAGATATGGAAGTCTATACCTCATCTTTATTTCATCTTTATTTGCCTTGATGGGTAGAAATAATCTTGAAATTCAGTTCATTCTTTATTTATTCTTCGTGCAAACATTAAAATATATACAAAGCATTTCAAGGTATAATACAATGTACATCAAATTAATTCATATAAATAAAGAAGATTAAACAGGGCAATCATTAAAAGCCTTCCGAGGCTTGACAGGTTGATGGTCCCAATAATTGGCAATTTATAACATTGATATTTTGGCAGAATGCGCTGCAATCATACTGGTTTACCTATCACCAAGTCCACAGTAACAACAGTAAATTTGTGTGAGGTCAGCTAGGCTTGCTTTAAGTGCATATCAGTGCTCTGTCCTTAGAGACCTGGATGTGATTTGTGAGCTGTGCATAGAGAAGATTGAGTTTGGAACAAATCTCTTCGTGTCTGATGTTGTACAACCTGTAGTTCGGTATGCAGAATCTCATTCAGTGTGAAAGTGAAAATTGCTTGGAATTGCATTAGGTATATGAGATAGGTAATATGCTTGTGAGTATCCCAATAGGTTATTTATGTTATGTGCTTTATTGACAATTTTCATCTTCCGTTATTGTATTTAGCATTAAAGGTAATGCAAATTTTTTGGGAAAATTTGAAAATTGAATGGATAGTAATCTTTAAAATTTTGATATAATTATTTAGATGCCCCTGTGGATGTATTATAAGCACTAGAAAATTTAGCCCTTAAAACACTTCTGCTTTTGAGAAATTAAATGATCAAAATTTACTGGTACTCCCAGTAAATTTCAAATATTTCAAATAGCGGCTTAGGCCATTCCATGGTAGCTACGACCGTGAAAATCTCAGAATATGCAGTTCTGATATACAATTTCCAATTGGGAATAGCGAATTGGTCGATTGTAGTCAAGAAACATTTAAAGCTGAAGTAATATCAGTCTTGAGAGGGAGCTATACAACCTTTAGTTTATTATTTGCAATTTCATCACTTTAGACTCCATTTCAACCGTGACAACGATCACTGAATATTGTTCATATGAACCAAATTCATGACCCCATACCAAAATGTTGTATTACCTTTAAACTTATACTTCCCATCTCTTTAGATAAATGATGCAATATAATTTTGAAAATATGTTAAATTAATGAAATGATAACATATTATAAATGTACTTTTTTCATGATATACATGATGTGGATATGTGCTCTTCAGAGAAGGGATAATTTCGCTAGTGATATTCGTTCATCTTGCAATGTATGGTCAACAAGGGATCTAAAAGATCACCACGTTTCGTGCGCCACTGCAACACTTTGTCAGGTGATATTATTTTTGATACTACATGTACACCTGCAATGAGTAATATGAAGGGATAATTCTTTTGTGTACAGGGTCAAGGTGTAAATTCAGTATACACGGCAGTGTTTTTCCACATAAAAACTTTTCTTTCGTCATTTACATTTCATATTTCGATATGTATGAGGCTTAATTATGTGCTAAAAATATTGAAGAGCATTCTGCAATGAGATCTTATTTGTTTTGTATGTAAAATTCATGATATTCGTGATATAATTGTACATTCTACATAGCAGGAGTAATGTTTATAGTGTAGGGGTTGAGCTGTATGTATGCCAATGTTTTTCAAATTTTATTTTCATTTCCCTAGCACAAAAATTATACCACAATACCAGTACATCTTTTCCCAATAGCCTATTTCAAAAGGTACATGTATTCAAAATGTCAGTTTGATCGATGCTCTTCCCCTAATTAGCAATGTTAAATGAAAAACTTACACAAGTATAGATAGCATTTGTGATGCAAGCCTTCTAAGGCTCTTCTAAATATGCAGTGGGGCATATCTTAGGTATTTGTGTGCATTATCAGATCAGGGGCGGTGATTCCGGGGGGGGGGGGGGGGGGGGGTTTAAAAAACTGAACACAAAAAAATGTATAGCAAATACTGACTAAAGACTGCAACACACATTTAGGCTCTGGAGGGCCCAAGAGTGCAGCATTTATAGACTAATGAAAATCTCTCTCGGTTGCTACGCTCCCTCACATAATATTCTCCAAAATGTACAAGTGAATATTGTAGAAAATCTTGCATTTCATCATGGATTAATAAAGCAACGAGGTTTTCAATGAATTTTTGTTTTCAATCAAACAAATAGTGAAATCTAATTTCCAAAAGTTTGTATTGTATTTATAGTAATTGTTCTGACATTTTGAGCAGAGTTTGTAGTTCATAAAATTTGTGAAATATTGTCTGAGTACATTAAAAACGTGAAATCATATTCTTAATAGCGATATTGTCACAATATAATAAAAGTACTACCAATTATTATTCAAATGATGGGGCATTGGTAAAACCAGACCCATCTTATGTTAATTGTCACCTTTTTAATGTCATACCTGGGCTTCTTTTTAATATCTATTTTATATTTTTTGCTGTTTTTGTTATATTTCAACAACAGCATTTATTTGTGACACAGAATATGTACCGTTACACGTTTTCTTACACTTTAAACTTAATCAATAGAAAAAAGTTATTTGCTTATTTTGACTGTATGTGAGACAATTTACCTGTGTCTAGTGAGTGGATTATATGCTTTTTATATTTGAAATCTGTTCGTTGTCGCCATGTGAATTTTGTGATTTAATCATGATCATGTACATGTGTACAGAAATTTAAATGATTAAACATGAATCTTTCAATGCAAGCTTCTTCTCTTTCGTTTTCTTTTTTTAAGTATGGCATATACAATCCAATGCTGCGATGATTGTTTCAAGTTAAGTTAATCCCAGGGTAGATGAGAAATAAACGTTATAGTGAGAGAGAAGAGAAACAGTTTAGAAGTAATTTTATAAAAAGGATCAAGACAAATGATTTGTATTTTAACACCAATACCGTCTTTTTGATGTGTGTGTGGGCGAGTATGTTTGTTGTCGGGTAGTTTTTGTGCAAACCTGACAGACATATTAAAGCGCTATAAAAGAACTCGCTATCATTAATATAACTTTTAACCCACATTGGTTAAGATGGATAATTTTGACATTTCTCCTTCATTTCGTTTTTAGAGTTATACAGGGTGGCTCAATAGAAACGGTCTAGAATACTTCCAATAATGTGGGTTCGAGTGGTTTTTGTTTTAGGGAGTATTTTGTGACGTAATGTAGGATTTTAAAATTTTGTCCAGCAAGAATTGAGCTGCGTTTAAAAAAATTCACATAATTTCATGTCTGTGTTTAGGAAGTCAATAATGGTGGCTTCTTATATAGCGCACATGTCCGTCACGTTTTGACGCTCCTGGCGCTGCCCCGATTATTGCCTATAATAGCACCTTAAAAGGAATATGTGTGGAGTTTTATGTCTGTGTTTCATCAAACGTTTATTACAGCTTGCCCAAACCTCAGACATAATACTATTTCTGAAAGTACACAGTATGGTACATTATCTGCCATCATTGCTCGTGGATGATCTCCAACACTATTTCACAAAAAGGCGTCTAAAAAAAAATATTCAACTAATTTTGGAAAACTTGGTATCACTTTTCGTCTGGTACCGAGGAAATTTGCCTCGAATTATTGGAAATATTTTAGTATTTTTATTTGGGCAACCCTGTATTCATGATGGTTCCTGTAATTATACTAGATTTCATTCATCCAGGCCCAGGGTAATTTGACGATGCAAGAAATACTTCTTTTTTCGGTATAGAAATAAACACTCGTGTACACAATTCTCATATTTATTGCAACAAGGTTTCATCCAAAAATGACACATGCCCTTGATTTCCTGCATTATGTATTCATTTTCACTCTTTAATCATTCATAGATCATTACGTTCGAAAAGTATATAACATCTAAGTGTCCTTTTAAGAATTGTTTTCCGTGAAGAAAAAATGGCAATGATGTGTCAATGTCCAAATTCAAGTGAGGTTCTTTTAAGAGACAAGAACTGAGGATGTTTTTTAAGCTAGACATGTAGACAAATTTAAATACATTTCGTCCTCAAAATTACTAACTATTACAAAGTAACACTGTTATTGCGGTTACGTTTGTCGGTATTCTAGACTCTTAATCTCAATTATTCGTTGCTTTCCTATAGC